GGGAAAGAAAATTTACTGATTTCAAACTGCTGGAGGAAATGGTGTTTGTTTGTTGACATCATTGGAGGTATGCGCCTGCAGTTACCTTTCTAGACATGTTGTGAAATATTCTTTCTAAATAAAATTCGTATTGAATAGGTCAATTTATTTCTTCTCTCTACCTTCTGTTGCAGTTCCAGATTTGGGTTTGTTTACTGTCGGGTTTCTTTTTTGCTATTGTCAGGCATTTTATCTCGATGTTCAAATAGTGTGTCCTTAGAACTTAGCCCTGTTAAACTGGATTATTTAAGGTCATTCATTTTATTCGGTTTTCACCCGAAACTGGTGTTGTGATTTTCATGATGTGGAGATGCATAGGTCTGGTTGTAGCATCCAAAACATGAAAAATTAAAATATCCTTTTTAAGAAGATTTTGCTCCTGAAAAGAGAGGGAGAACTGGGTATCGTGCTCAAGGATGTTATTTGGTTTTTCACTAGGAAAGTTTTGAAGATTTGGTCAAGATACTACAATGAGAAGCAAACTCCAAAAATGTAAAATGCAGGTTTGGTCTACATCGAAAGATCAAAATAAAGAAAGAGAATAGTACCATGAAGATCAACGAGGAAAGCGAAGAGTAGAAGAATGGAAGTGGAAAATTTGTGAATCTGAGTTCGTCCTGTGCTGGGTAGAGCTCAACACATGAATGTGTGAACTAGCTTTTCTGGTAATCAAGGCCAGAAAAGATTGACACATGAATGTGTGAACTAGCTTTTTGGCTGCCCTTATTGATGTTCCATAACTTAACGTGGCTTCTTGAAGCAAATTCTTTCAATTTTCTTCTATTTTCATGAAGAACAACAAAGGGATTTTGTTAGAGTCCCACAACGATCATATGTGGAGAAAATTAAGTCTTTATAAGGCTATGGGCACTCTCCCTATCAAGCTAGCTTTTAGGGTGAGCTCACAATGACCATATGTGGGGAAATTAAAGTTTTGGCTATGCACACTCTTCTATCAAGCTAGCTGTTAGGCTGAGATGGATCCATAGATCTTAGAAGGGATTTAATTGGATCCATTATGAATGGGTTATATCAGATTTATGGATCCTTATTGATCCATTATTTTCTTGATGATGGGGATTAGAAGTGGAAATAGTCAAATATGCTATTTCTCTGTTTCTGGCCTTTGTTTTTCACAGAAGTAAGGACGTCTATATGCCGGCTTTGTGATGCTCAATGTGAGGGCCTTGTTCCTTCACTTCATACAATTGGCTTTGGTGCAACTTTTATCAGTAAGATTTTACCTTTCTGGAACTTGTTTTTGTGTGCTTGTTGAGATAAGGGTCATAAGAGAGAAAATGCTTTTGATAAGTATCACATTTCATGTGTTAAGAGGTAGAAATAGACACATGTGTATTGATTGCCGTTATACACATACCTTAGTAAGGTTCGACAGCAGATTTACATGAGGTAGAAAGAAGCAATCTGCCTACACATTAGTGATTAGTATCAACTTGGAAATAAACTTTAGAGTTGATATGCTTCACTTATCTCTCTGCACTATCTTCAGGGGAAAGAAAACATCTTAGTAGTATGCTATTCTGAAACAGGTAAGAAAACCTATCATGAGAACAATTGCCTGGGTTGTCTGCTAAACCTTCCTCGAACTGCTGTTATCTCACTCGTCACAACTTCATTAATCATATCCTTGAACATCATTCTCTCAATGTCTAAAACTATCGCCGGAGTTTCTCCTTCAAAATCTCTCCAGCTCATTCCTTGATTTTGCAGGTCTTCCCATATGATATCTTCTTCATCATCATCCAAGCTACACTTTGAGTTGTTAGCTTGCAACCGATCAATCTCTGAACACAGAGATCGCAGAAGGTACTTCCCTCTTGATCTTTTCTCTGTAAGTGGGCTTGATTTTATGTGTGGCTTGATACAGCCTTCTGCTACAAATCTTTGGGCTAGAATTTCATTGATGGTGTCAAACAAGAGTTTCCTTCTGATTTTCTCAGTACGGTTCACCTGGCCAATCCTTTTACCTCTCTGCCTGTCTTGTAAAATGAAATCACTTGCCTGATTTTGTTCCAGGACGAAGAATAGGCTGGGGTTGATTGGAAGGCGTGATTGGTGCAACTGAATGCTTATCATGCTGTATTCTAGATCTCTCAGAAGCCCTGATGATAACAATATCTCTGAGATGTATTTGTGGTCAGCGTTTTTTATGTCACAGGTGAATGCAACTTCATCCATGAAGCCTTCAACAAAGTCAGGCAACACGATGGGTCTTCTGAAGCCAGTAGGTGTCTGACTCGTATCCTCCTTTATCCATTCGGCTTCTTCAGCACTTAGAACATCATCCTCTGTGGCACGAGAAAGCAGTAAAGGAATTAGCGGGTAAAAAAAAAAGGTTATAGAGCATCAAACAAACTGAATGTTATCTGTATTTTCTTTGTGTATAATAAATTAGCATACATGAAAGCAGTGATATCAGTCATTTATAGTATTTAGCAATGTGTATTACGAAATCAGTTAAATCTCTTTATCTAGGTTCCAGCAATGGGAGAGTTAAATGCCTCACCTTTAAAGACAGTGGATATCTTCCTGACAGGGGATGGTGATTCATCTTCATAGAAGGCTGCATCGAGAACTGAAACTGGGCTCGGCTGCTCCAACGTAACTTTCACAGGTTTTAGCATGGGCCTCTCTTGCTTAAATCCCAACTCTGGGCTCTGAGGACCAGAAACAGCAAGGATTTAATTAGGGTACAAGCCAATTCTTGTTAGGTGAAGGGGGAAGAGGAGAGAGAGATGGTGCAATACCCTTTGTTTTGGGGTTTGCTGCTCGGGGTTGTCACAGGGCCTCTCGAACCTGTATCTGTTTGTAACCTCAATGCAAGCATTTGCAACTGAACTTATGTTGCTGTCAGATCTTAGTGATTTTGCTTCACTTTGGTGACTCAGACTTCTCAGGTCACTGCTTGCATCACTCATCCGGTCATCAGATTGCGGCAGATTACAAGTCTTTGTTCCTTGTTTTCTTCTCGGGGTCTGCTGCCTACTGAGCGGCCTTTGGGTCTTGCTTGCCTCGGGTGTGGGAGTTGTGGGCTGGGGCTGCCATTCAAATCCGAGTTTCTTTTGTTGCAGTCTCGGGCCAACGCTATGTTCGCTCCTGCCCGACTTGGCCATGTCACTTTTCGAAGAACAAGACTCTGCTGAAGTTCGCATTAGTCGTAATGTCCCCCCGCTAGTGTTCTTCACTGTGGAATCAAGTTGACCCTTGTAGAGCCCCGGCCTGGGTGTTAGATCCATGGCCATTTGCTTTCCTTGCATGCCCTTTCGGATTTGTCTGGAGTTGCCATTCTGGAGATTTGATAAGGCAACATTTTTTGACTCTTGAAGAACTTGAGCAGGTTTCATTACAACAATCGAAGACCTGAAGTTCCTTGATGGGGTTGTTGCTACTGTAACAGCTGGTGTTGGCTTCTGAGTTCTTTGGACAGGAGTGGATCTATTGCGTGCCAGCGTGGTCGAATTCAGAGTGTCGTCTTTTCTGCTATTGATCAATTGCTGCGTATTCTCCATTGCTTCAAGTATTTGTCTAAGAGCTCTGAGATCTTTTCCAGACGTTTTGAACTCGAGCTGCATCAGCCTCTTCTGGATTTCCGCGTACACAGTCAGCGCAGAGTCAGCTGCTTTGGCTTGGGTTTTATGAGATGGATTTTGACCTTTGATGTCATCTTCCTGCTTCCGTGGAGCTGGCTCAATAGGAAATTTGGAAGCAGGAGTCATCTTCTTGATCGAATCTGCACCTCTTGATCTTTGTCGTGCTGCTTCCCCGTGGAAAGGCCTGGAAGAGTCGCAAAAGAGGTTCTGACTGTTGTTATCAGCCTTAACCGGCGGTCCTGACAAGCAATCATGCTCACTTGTTGTAGTATAAGGAAGAACTTCCAAACCCATCAGCTTGGCAACAACACTCGATGTCGTTCTCCTGTGAGTTGCAGGCTCTTGTCCGTTCCCATCTTCCAGTGGGGAATTGGATCGTGCATCGGCTCTAGAACTTCTGAAGGAGTTTGTTCTACTGTCTAATGACAACCTCGGAAGCTCCCTCGGTTTTGTGGCGGTCTTGTACCCATTGTTCCTCGAGTCCCTCTCATCATAAGAGAGCCGAGGACTACCCTTGAGGTGAGCTACTCGTCGGCCTTCGTTCCATTCGCTGGAACTCTGAGATGGCAGATCTTTGAGAAGAGACACACAAGCCATGGCTACTTCATCTTTGGCTTTTGTATCTCTGTGGATGAAGCCTTTCACCAGTTCCCTAAGGTCACATTGCGTGAGACTGCCCCGCCAAGGCGATCTATTGGGTGCTTCTCTGATGGAATTCGCACTGTTGTCAGTCTGAGTCATAGGCGGGGATTCAAACTGAGAAGCCATGCTGACATCTGCAGATGAGAAGCTGGACGAGCGTGGTGAAGATGAAAACGAGGGCCTTGATGACGATTCAGTGGAGACCCGTTGCTTCTCCTTTGTTGCCTTCTTCTCCATAGTCTTGTCCTGCAATTCCGTAAGTCTCATTTTAGTTTCGTCTTGAACCCTCTTCTCACATATCCCTGTCCCATTCTCAAACTATGAACTGTTTGCTTAGATTCTTACCTTCTCATTATCATTGGCCAAACTGGTTTCACCTGAAAAAGACCCATAATATTTTAGTTTCCACATACTGTTGAGATGGTGGAGGATAATTTGGCCGTAGTGTTTGCTTTATTTTTAGTATGTCTGTGAAGTCCAATGGATGTTTGGCTTCAACTAACCATAGCAAATGTGTTTGTTCTTATATGGTGTTGAAAATTACAGGTAATTCGGCAGAGACTTTCACAATCTGGGTTTCATGGATTCTTGTCCCAGAATTAGTGGTAAGTCTTCCGTTAGGAAATCTTATCTCTTTGCATCTTCGGAAAAGGTAGTGTTTATGGTCCTCTGCTGCCCGGCTACTTTGATTCTAGTGGTCCTAAACCTCGTCTAGGATATAGTCAGGACATATAGTATTGTGTATAATAACCACTTTGGTGAAAAACAATCATAGTATAACAGTATAATAGCACTAAATTTCTGAAGCTTTGGTGTTTTGAGTGGAAAATTCAGTCGGCTGAAGGTTTAAGTAGTAAAAGAGCTAGAAGTTTTGGAGGTTTCTGTCCCATTATGTATGTAAAACGGAGGTTTCTTGGATATTTGTTTTTCGTTTGTCTGAAGTTTGGTTTGAAAGGAGTACCTGGAGGAGACAGGGTCTTGTGGTAATGGCCGAGGACCCGTCTCGCCGGATAATGTTGCCGGTAAAACACCTGGAATATTCCGTTCATGCATCCATTTTGCTTGTGCAGATTATTAGGGTTCTCATCAGACAGGTTGTATAGAAGCTTGGCAGACATCTCTTTCTTTCTCTCCTTTGTGTTTCTCTGCCCAGAACAAATATATATGTGTTGTGTATATATATATGCTCTCAGGAGGCGACACGATTCATCAAACTTTAGATTCCCTGTTCTTGCATCTCCATCTGTGTTTCTTCCTCTGCTCTGTTTTTTTTCTTTCTGGGTTTCTGATTTTTTTTTTTTTAATCAGGTGAAGAACAAGGGCAGAGAAGAGTGAATCTTGAAAGGGAAGGGAAGAGGACAAAGACCCAACATTTGAGATGGTAAGGCTGCTGAAGAATGGTGAGACCAGACAAGAGAGATTAAGCCTTTGGGTTTAGGTTCTGTGACCGTGTTTTCTTGGAGGCTCCTTGAAGAAGAAAGGAACACTTGGAAAAACGAACCAACTCTGCTTTCTTTGGGGAGGTTTCTATTCGGAGAGGCAAAGCTACGACCATATATAAACATCTGTTATGTATGTATGTATGTATGTATGTATGTATATGCACATGTATGTACTCATGTATACATACATGTATCTCTGTAGATTATACATGAATGTGATGTAAGAGAATGTATTTGGTTATTATTTTTATTTTTTGTGAATATAAATGTATTTATTATGACCAATCTGCTGGGAAATAATGAGGGATCTACTTTTTTTTTTTTTTATGCACCTGTAAAAGATGAAAGGGATGCACATGAAAGCACAAGCCATAAAAAATAAAATAAATAATAAATGGGGTATAGTATAGATAGCTATAGATAGATGTAATAATCGACATATAATGTGATTATCTGTAATTTTATTTTTATTGAATTTCTTGATTCGGATTGCAACCGTGGTTCAGATCTGATTAGATTTAGAACAGGTTTTTATTTTGGTTCAATAATCGAAAGGTGGGTCCATGCCATGCTCATTGTTAACTTATCTTTTTATTGTTTCGAGTGAATTTTGATGGTGGGAAAAAGGCTCTGATTTTTTTTAAGGAGATAAAATAATAATAATAATAATAATAAATGAAAATAAAAAGGTTAAATTTATATCTGACAGGGGTTAGCAGAGTTTCACTACAGATCCATGTGGACAAAATAATGTGGGTGGGTCTCTCTAGTCATTGGTGCCCCTTTACATATCCATGTGGAGCTTGTCAGTGACAGTCCCAAAAAAATAAAATAATAATTATACCATATTAAATCTATATATAAATAATTAGAGTTTTATTTTTCCAACAAAAAAATAACAACCGATCCCTTCCTAAATCTATTATTCCATCATGTATAATTCATTCTATAATTATATACGAAACTAAGCATTTATTAACAACCAATATATCTAGTTTTTTCCCCTCAAATGACCTATACTTATCAGGGCCGTCTATTAACAAGTGTAGACGGTCCGACAGAACAAAGTCTTTAAATTTGTGGAGTCTTTATTAACGAAAATTATTAATAATATATAATAATTAAAATTAATTATTAGTAATGATGGGTAACAACTTTTATTATCGTGTATTACTGTAGTTGATTTTTTAAATTTTATTTTAATATTATTTTTATTATTTTAATATATAAACTAATATTTTTTATTTAAAATTTAGAAAATGTCCAGGATCCCAAAAAATTATGAGACGACCTTGATATACATGGTTCCGGTAAAGGTTAGAAAAACTAAAAATTTATGGGATGAAATGTAAAAATGGGAATAATATATAAGAATGAATGAGCGGAGAGATGAATTAATTTTAAGCTAAATCTAAAAAGGATAAGGGAATAATTAAAAAGGGGAGCAGATCACATGAAGCAAAATGTCTTTAGATGGGGCTTTGGCTTTGGTTGGTAGGGGAACCAACTAAGCAAAAAAAATCTGTTTTTATAGAATATATATATATATATATATATAACCAAATCAAGTGTTTAATTTTATCATATGCTAAGTTCCAAAAGGTCAATTCACTTCAATAATTATTGGCACGTGATCCCACTTATCACCCACCTTTTGGACATTATTTTAATTGCATCATTAATTTCTGTGGGGGTATTGGTTGATCCACCCCCCCCCCTTTGATCTTGCCAAGCCAAACCATACGTATACGCGCGTGTACACGTACACGCATGCATGCATGCATGCATGCATACGCATGGTTTTATACATTCAAACTCATCAAATGTTGCCGTAATTAAAAACACCAAGTTGAATTTCGGTAAGTATATTATACATTTTTTTAGTGTGATAAAGGGTATTCTTGTGAACATTATTTAATTAGCTAGCTTCTCGCAGCTCGTTATTTTTCTTTATTAAACCGTATATCGTTTTTAGTGCGTGTATACATATATATTTCATGCTTCATTGACATTTATAGTTGTCTAGAACTCAGAGATAGCCAAATTTCGAGGTCATTGGACTTGAGACAACAAAATAATGATATGTGGCACTTTAATGAACAGGTATGCAATTAATTAAAGCAATTATATTATAAAAAAATAACATATGGGGAATTAATAATTGTACAAGTTGTTGACTTAATTATATTGAGAGTTATAAGGTACAAAAGGTGCTCGTTATTTATTCCATATTAAGAAATAAGATATTTATATTTCTCACTCTTAAAAATCCTGTTCATTATTGCAATTTGGTATGTCATTCATAGAGCTATGATAGAATTTGTTTAATATTTATTTTTATTATAATATTTTGATGGTTCAATATGAGTTTTATGATAATATATATATATATATATATATATATATATATATATTATAACATATCAATCATTATAACCCACCCAGCTAGCATGGGCAAATGGCAGCATATTGGCTAAAATGGTTTTCACGTGAAGCGTTCGATTCCTGCAGCTGGGGAGGGGAAATTCCCAAAGAGAATGC